AGCAAGTAACCTCACAGACCCTATCTATTGTTTCAACACTGTCCAATTACAATGGTAGTTACAGCTAAGATTTCCGACCACCTTGCTGTCAGGACCTTAAAACCCACTGTCATGGAGCAGCAAGGATGGGCTGCTCCACAAAGGAAGGGAAGCCAGCACCTGGATGGCAACACAGGTAAGGGCATCACCTCGCTCATGGGGGTCCAGTCCCATGGTACCTTAACAAGAGCAGAACAGGTCTGATGATGGTAACCAGGTTCACACAGTAGTCCTGTGGTCACTGGACAAGTCTATGGAGATGAGGGATGTCCCAGGTCAAACCAGGAAATCAAATCAGGAAGGCAAGATGCCAGGCTGGACACAGGCATACCTTCAAAGCAGATTAGGCAGGGACCTGGGATTAAATGGAGCACTTAAGCCAGGGGGCAGAGGCTGCCCATGAGACTTCTTACAGATCTCTCACACAGGTCTTTTCCACACATCAGCTGAATCCAGGGTCACCCAGCTGCAGGCAGCTAAACCCCATGGGGGCCAGGAGGAGAGCCTGGTAGAGCATTCAGGGTGCAAGCAGCTGTGTGGCTGTCAGGCACTTCTGCACCTGGGACAGCAGGGAACACTGGACTTGTATACTCGCCACCACTGAGCCATGTTCTGAGCAACCTCAGCAACTCTGAACGACCTACGTTCAGAAGTGAAAAAACATGATTTGCAGAGCTTTGGCACTGCTGTTCCCCTCCACCCTCAGCATGGCGCTTGCTAAGATAGCAAAGCAATTAAAACTGTAGTTTCCTGTTATATAAAACAGGCATAATCCGTATGTTTTGATACTTACAGTGCCATAGCATCGTAAGATTAACTCAGTGTTTCAGTGTTTTCTGCAACCCAGACTCAGATTCCCAGCCTGATAGTGTCACAAATGAGCAAAGTAATATAAGATAAAGGGTATATAATGAGAGGAAAGTTGATAAATGTCTTTCTGTGAGTCACTCTTTCTCTTGCAATGACCATGTCACAATTTCTGCTGAGTCACAGGTGACAAAGTTATTGATGTTAATGAATGTTCTCTGAACCCCATTCCAGAAATAAAGCTAATAAATAAGTCCACAATTTGATGAAAGGCAGCTACCTGGTGCATTGGATATAGAAGACAGTAAGCAATATAGCCAAACAAGAAGAAAGCTTTTCTTCACAAACAGAGGTTCCTTCACTTCAAATCCATGTACCCATGCAAAGTAACCCTGTAGTCCACATATTAAACCCTATTAAACCGGAATCTTTAAGGTCATGTTCTTGTATATTGTTTCCTTCTACAGTCCATAAGCTTTATGGCACTTTGACCGATTTAGAGTTCATCAAGACAGGAAAGTAGCACCTCTGTTTTGACTTCCTGCTTCTGGCTTTCACTTTACAATTCCTGGTGGGAAAAAACCCCTTTGGCATGGAAATAATAATAAGCAGCTTCTACTTATGGTCTAACATTAGAAAGAAAAAAAAAAAACCCTCACAGAGAAGCTAACAATTCTTCAGTAGTCAGGGTAATTATTGCCAACAATTCATAACATACCACAACTAGCACAGCGAAACTCCCACTCTAACAGTATTTAACTTTGTTTATTGAGGCCAACCAAAATCTTTTCTCGTATCAAAGCCTGAAGGAGGAATTACCAACAGATTCTGGCACACAATTACATTCTTTCCAAATACACTATTATACATCATGAGATTCCTGAAACTAGAGAACTTTCCATAAAACTCAGATCACATTATTCCAGGAGATTTTAGGGGGGAAAAAAAGAAAAAGAAAAAAGCAGTAGTATACAATTAACCTTTATGCTATTTGAGGCTGAAAGTGCCCAGTCTCAGATAAGAAAAGGTTCTTCTAAAGTGTTTACAATCATGTCACAGTTAAAAATGTTACTTTTCTATCATGTGGCTTACTTTCATAGTTTCTTAGTCTCAGAGAATGAGAAAAGGGTAGCTAAAATATTCCAGAACGTTATAAAATCAGTTTCTACGTACAAAATTTCTATAGCTTTAATGTCCTATTATTTTGGGGCCTTTCATAGCTGAGTCAAATGGATAATCCTCTTCTAGAATACCTAGAATTCTCCTTCATATGTAGTGAGTCATTTATGAAACATTTAAGGTTTATGCCAGTCTTTACATCCGTCTTTAGCCTCAAAGTCTAAGCATCAGTGTAAGCCTCTGGCCAGTATAATGTTGGAGGAAATTCTAAATCA